GGATTTATACCCTGCCCTTCACTACCCAAAGGCGTCTCAGAGCGGCTTACAAACTCCTTTCCCTTCCCCTCCCCACCACAGACACCCTGTGAGGTAAAAGAAGAAGAAGAAGAGATTGGATTTATACCCCGCCCTTCACTACCCAAAGGAGTCTCAGAGCGTCTTGCAAACTCCTTTCCCTCCCCCTCCCCACAACAGACACCCTGGGAGGTGGGTAGGGCTGAGAGAGCTCTGACAGAAACTGTTCTTTTTCAAGGACAGCTGTGCCAGAACTATGGCTTGCCCAAGGTCATCCAGCAGCTGTGAGTGGAGGAGTGGGGAATCAAACCCGGTTCTCCCAGATCAGAGTCCGCGCACTGAACCACTACACCAAACTGGCTCTCAGAGGTGGTTTGTCCTTGCCAGCCTCTGTGTACCAGCCAGTGGACCTTCCTTGGCGGTCTCCCATCCGAATACTGACAACAGCTAACTCAGCTGCTGAGATCTGGTGAGACAGAGTTAGCCTGGGCCATCCAGGTCAGGCCAAAAGACAGACAGACGGTATTCCCTCTAAGCTGAGTTGGTGTGAGCTAGCTCACAGTTTTTTTAGCCTCCGGCTCATCCATTTTTGTGTTAGCTCATGAAGAGCAAAATGATTTATGCAGCTGCCAAATGGCTTAGCTCACAACTTCAATGCCATTTAGCTCACAAAGTAGAATTTTTGCTCAGAAGCGCATTGCATACAGAGGTGGTTTGTCATTACCCACCTCTCTGTGGCCACCCTGGACCTTCCTTGGTGGGTTCCCATCCAGGAACGAGCCAGGACCGACCCTGCTTAGCTTCCAGGATCTGATGAGATCGGGCCGGGCCGGCCCATCCAAGTCAGGGCATTTCACGTACACCTTGTTTTAAATCCTGCTTTAATCTTTTAGTGTTTAGATAGTTGCTGCCTTGGAATGGAATGTTTTCAGAGCTGCTGCCTATTTGGACGGAATGGTGGCGCAGGAGGGTTCTAAATGAATAAATCTTTTTTCCTGTCCTGAAAAGCCACAAATGTTTAGCTTCCCGTCCCAAGGTGGGTGCTCCAATCTGTTCAATGTTTGATTGCTTCCACCCCCCCCACCCCATGCCTTTCACTGCTCTGTGGCATCTTTTGAGTGAGGCCCCACTGAGAGAGCCAGTTTGGTGTCGTGGTTAAGTGCGTAGACTCTAATCTGGGAGAACCAGTTTTGATTCCCCACTCCTCCACTCGCAGCTGCTGGGTGACCTTGGGCGAGCCATAGTTCTGTCAGAGCTGTTCTCTCAAGTACAGTTTCTGTCAGAGCTCTCTCAGCCCCATCTACCTCACAGGGTGTCTGTTGTGGGGAGGGGAAGGGGGTTTGTAAGCCGCTCTGAGACTCCGAGTGAAGGGCGGGGTATGAATCCAATCTCCTCCTCCTCCTCTTCTTCATTCTGAAGGGATTTTTTAAATACTTCGGACCAGTTTTTGTTTGCGTCTCTGCGCTATATATTCATGCCACAAACCCGTACCTTGCCTCTCTAAAC